ATGGAGGGCCTGGGTGTGCACTGCTGCTGGCACAGCAGCCTTGGCACTCACACTGCCCCTGCTGCTTGCCAGGCTGGGCCAGGGCTGGAGCTCCTCTGCTAGGCTGACTGGCTGCCTTTGCTTTGTTTGGGACTTTTGCTGCGCTTCAAAGGCAGGTGACTTCTGTGGTGTCACACATAAAATAGAGCCCACACAATCAAGCTGTAATTAGCACTACTCTTGTTAGGGCCCATCACTCTCCCCTCCCATGCCAGCTCTGACAACAGGTGGCAACCAGAACAAGCAACAGCCCCTGAACACACAGCAGCATTCCCAAACCCTGTGCCACAACCCACTGACAGGCTGGTTTGGTTTTTATAACCCTGAGTGCTTCCTCAAACTACTACTTAGATGACAGCAGTGGAGCAGGTGTGGATTCTCTGACAATTACAAACACACTGACAGATTTACAGTTCCATTCACCCTTTCCAAACTCTCATATACAAGTAATGAGTGAGATACTTTAAAAAAAAATCACCATCCCTCTTGGCAATGGTCAAGAGATGCCTCCAATCACTCAACAAGGTCCAAATGCTGGACATTTTTCATCACTATTACAGGACATGTTTTGTGGCCAAGCCTGCAAATAAAAATGCCCTGATGGCTCCCTGGATGAGCCTCCCTGCAGACAGGTCCTGCTGCAGCTGGAGGAACAGCAGGGAATTAAACACTGTTTTTTTGAAGGTCTTCTTTCTCATCACTTTCTGAAATCTACAGATGACACCACATTGCATGACCATAGCCTATGGATGATGGAGGAGGCCTTCATTACTGGCACTGAGACTCAGGCTAATTAGACAAGATAGAATCAGTAGATCAGGTCAGATAAACAACATGAAGCAGCACAGCTTGGCATGTGAATGCTGCTCACATGAGGGAGGCATGGCAGGTACTGATGGACCCAACTCTTAACAGAAGAGTTTTACAGAAGGCGAGTATATTCACCTAATATCTGACAAAGAATAAGAAAATAACAGTTACAGCCATCTTCATCAAGGTGGGGAACCTAACAGAATTCAGCAGCATGGTTTGGTTTATGCATTTTGATCTATAATCCAGTCACAACAGTGCCTGAATGCAAATAAGTTCTGGTCTCTAACCACAACCATTGTCAGACCTGTGGGTTTGTGTCTGCAGTCCAGCACCTCCAGCACCAGGATGTGGCAAGGCTGCAGGGCCCTCTGCACCCATGAACACCCAAATCCCAAATCAAGCACTGCTATGGGACCCAAAAATCCACTGCTCTTGTTCTGGTCCTCTACATGCAGACAGGGATGATTGTGCTCAGGCACCAGTGAAATGACCAATAGATAAACTAAAAGACAAAGAGATACTGTGAATCTTAAAAGGAAAATTTAATCAACATAAAACTGGCCTGTATCTGGTCTGTCCATATGTCCACAAGATCAGCTTAAAAAGGGCTTCACAAAGGATTTTTACATGCACTACTAAGGCATCCTTGGATAGTACTTTGGATTCATTCTACCCTGAAGGGAGTCAAATCTGTTAATTATTGTTGGCATGAATAGGAAACAATATCATCCTTAGGTGCACAACTGTTACTTCAGGCAGTTTGAGAAGCCAAGGGAGAGGAGGCAAGGATAAACAACTTAAGCATCAAAAATGATTGGCAGTAGTGGTGAATACAGGTAAATCATAAGGAAATTTCACCGTTCTTGCCCCTTCCCAAGGTAGTAATGACCAATTTGCCATACTATAAATCCTCAGTTCAGCACAGCTATGTTTTGTCTCTAACACCACAAGCAGGGCTGCCAGAGGACTTCTGTGAACTTGCAAGCCAAGTCAATTTCACAAACAGCCAAAACTGCTCTGTAGGACCACAGAGCTGCCACCACAGCAGCCCTCAGTGCCTCTCCCATACCTAAGCAGCAAGTGCAGGGGTTGGGATCACAGTAATGCCTTGCTTCACACCTTCCAAAGACATTTACTCTTTGCCTTTGCATGCCCTGGAAGCTCAGCTGCATCTCTGATTTTGAAAGTACATTGTTATTTAGCCAGCATTTCAGGTTTACTGGGGAAACTGGCCAACAAACAGGACCTGCAGCACAGCCCAAGACTGATGGGTTGGGCTGGCTGTGTGCCAGCTGTCCCAGTGTCACCCGGTGAGCAAATCACCTGGGTGTCATCTGACACTAAATGTACAATAGAAAATAACTCCTGAAACTGGAGGGTGTTCAGGTGCCACAGTGACAGGCACAGTTTGAGAACAGAGTAGCAGCTTTGCTTAAGGGCTTCAGCTAGCTTCCAAAGATGATTCTATTTCCTACAGGGAAGGAATCCTGCAGTGAGAATCAAACCCAGCCCAGCTGCACAGGCTGTGAGCCATGTCTGCCTTGTGCCAGGGCTCCCCGCTGCCCCTTCCCCAGCACAGGCAGGGTGCAGAGGGGCTCTGGGGAGGACAGGCCTGTCCTCTGCCTGGGGACACTGCTCAGGAGCAAGCCAGGGGACACGGCTCTGCTCTCTCAAAGCAAACAGCATTTTTTTCTCACTGTGTTTTTTTCCACATGCATCTTACAAACTTCCCAGAGGTCTCCAGCATTTTCACACAGGTTTTGCAGTCAGGAAAGTGAAGAACAAGAGCCGAGGCGGCCCATGTAACGAACAGACTTGGTTGGAGATGTGTGCTGGGGTCTGGAACCTGGTCTGCTGCTGGACCTGCTGGGACACCCTCCTCAGCTGAGAGCTGCAGCACAACAGCCCACACTGCCTCAAGCTGAATCACCAGCTAAAGAGATTATTAACTTCCAGCTGCGTTGGGCCCCATTTCCTTTGTGCAACCGTGTGCTTAATTGCAAATTCTAATTTACTGTTGCAGAGCACAAGCCCAGGTCCAAGGATAAATTAAAATCACGGCTGTATGGGAAGTTCATAATTTACCTTTCTAACTTACCTGATTTGATGCAGATACAAATATTTAAATCCAGCCAAGGAAAAAAACAGCCTGTTTCTAAGAAGTTCCAGCTGGGAAGGGGGGAAGGAAGGATTTTGTAGGAAGAGAGGCTGCAACAATCAGCATACTGTCACAGTGCCTGCAGGAGCAAAATAGCCGCTCTGCAGAGCTTTGGCCAACGCTGTGCTCCTCCCCTGAGAAGCTCATTTAGATTTGAGGTTTTTTGGCTTTTTTTTCCCTTTAGTGAAAAACTACTCTGCTATCCTGAAAGTAAGAGCTATTACTTTGAAATCTCTTTTGTACAATTTCCCTGTTCTCTTTTCAATGGAAACACCGAGCCTGTCACACTGATGTTATTTTTGTTGAAACAGATCAAACCTAAATTCAAACTGCAGTAAAAAAAAAATAAATTAAAAGTCGATTTTTGTTTCTGAATGCTGAAATTTCAAATCAGATTTCTAATAATCTGGGGTTTTTTCATACAAATACACAGCACTCAAGTTCTTAGCACAATTGAATCCTGTGACTGAGTCACAGACTTTGGCGCTGCCAAGGGAAACAGCGCTCGGGATACTCCCTGAGCAGCTGCCAGAGAGGATGAGGAGGAGAAGGCGAGGAGGTTACACAACGTCACAGGCTGTACCGTGTCACTGCCATGGGGCAGCAAGCCAGCCCTGCGCGGGCTCTGGGTCAGCGCCAGCACCGGCTCAGCCCCGCCGCGCCAGCGAGGCCTTGTGCTCGCCATGTGCTCCCCACACACGTGCCGACGAATGCTGCTGCGACCCAAGGTCACCCTGACCTCCTCCTCTACCACGCCAGGCCAGCACCCACTGCAGGCCAGCTGACCAGACACTCCTCCTGCTGCTGACTGATGAACACCCATGGCCAGCACCCTGACCCACGGACAGCACCCTGACCCACGGACAGCCATGGACAGCACACTGACCCACAGACAGCACACTGACCCACAGACAGCCATGGACAGCACATTAACACACGGACAGCCACGAGCAGGACTGCACCCCGAGACTGGCCATCAGAGAGGTTCCTCCTGCAAACCACAATATCAGCCTGCCAAAATCCAAAGAAAGGCTCAGATCTTCTCTAAAGCCCATCAGGTTTTGATACAACCACACATCCAAAAATCACTTTTTGAGCAACACGGAGAGGGGCTGGGTACAGTCAGCCCCAATCAAAGTCTCTCTGACGGAAGTTGTTGGTGAAAACCAAGAGAAGGGCTGAACTGATCTAACTCTAAGGCATTACTGATTCTCCAAAACAAAGCTGAAGTGAATAATCAATGTCCAGCGCTTCTAAACACCAGAGTGAAATGGTGTTTGAGAGTGACTGATGAAAAATGGGAAGTGAGAAAAAATTATGTTTTACTGTGGAAAAGTCCATTGTGATCAATCCTCAGCATCATTTATTCCAATCAAAATATACAAGACACACATGCAGCAACTGTTTCAGTTTCCAGATGAATTTTAACTGCATTATGTGCTACTGATTTCACATTCACAAGGGACATCTACAAGAACTTCTTTTGTGTCAACATTAACTACTTTCACAAACATTAAACAAGCAAACAGTAACACTTATTTCCCTCCAGCTACAAACACAACTGATTTTACCTGTGCTTTCTCACAGACTCACTCCTGGTGGTGCCCCATCCATCTGCAGCTTCATGCTGCAACCTCAGATTCCAGGCTTTCCTTGCCTCCAAGCAAATGACTTGCACTCACATGTCCATCTCATTGAAACTTTGAGATATACCATATCTTTACAGAAATCTGTCTTTTGGTTAAGCAAACAGAAAACGTCCCAAAACCATACATATTAAAATTCACTTGAGCCCAAAAGGAGCAACTGAAGTTAACCCAGCCTGAATCATTAAGATCATCTGAATTATCAGCTCCCTGCCATGACCACTGCTGGTAAGGATGATTTGTGGTTAGCTTGGAACCTCCAGAAGAGGAATTTCTCTCCTGTTTTCCTCTGCACTGCCATGTCAGCCACGGTCTCTGCACAGTCCCGCGAGTGCTGCACGTACCTGGATGTATCGCAAGGCACTCCTGAGGACACTGAGGTTTGAGGTCTTCTTGTCATCTACGTTGGGGATGTTGCGCTTTAACGTCTCAAAGCACTCTTTCAAATGTGCACGTCTAAAGAAAACACAGGTGGGTTGTCAGCTGCCAGGAGACACACCAGAAACCAATTCCACCAGAGGGGAGAGCTTAACTGGGGCCTCAATCCAGCAAAGCACCTGGACCCGTGCATAGCAGCCCCCAGCACAGCACGCTCACGGCTCAGCCGGCCCACCCCAGCAGAGACTGCATGGGGGTCTATCCTACTATCCTACTAGGAACACTGTGGGGCCTTAAACAAAGTATCTCATCTCACTGTGCTGGTGCTTTCACTGTCACCATACTTCCAATTTAGCTAGTCAGGCTTATATGAGTCTTGGGTCAGAAACTGATGTTTAGTCTGTATTCGCATTATACACTGACCCCTGATTTGGGGTATTTTAGTCCTTTTAAATCAAAAGAGAGTCATGCTGTTATGCACTGTTATTGCTTTTCAGGATCAGGGCTTTGCAGGGTTGTTGGGATGCAATGATGCAGTTAAACAGAACATACTGGGAAGCAAGAAATGCAGAACTGAGCTATAAGAATGCCAAGCAATACTGCAAGATTCAGTAAAAGTCACTAAGCATTTTATTCAGGTTATCTGTTTAAAAAACAAGAAAACAAATGAACAAAAACCCGCCAAAGCCAAACAAATATTGACAGATGATAGGCAAAAAAAAAAGAGGGGAATTACAATTAAAAAACCCAAACCCCTGGCTTTCTACGCACCTGTTCTTCTCCAATTTATTATGTACTTCCCTGGTCCCAACCCTGTAACCCAAACAGAACAAAAATCAGCTCAGTGTCAGGTTGAAAACTCCGGCCTTGCACCTGTGCTTGCAGCAGTGTCTATATGTCAAGACGCAAAAGCAGCAGAGGTGTTCAGATATCACTGGTTTAACATTAAGTACATATGCATTTCTGCATATCCTGTTTCAAGACAAACTCCACACTTTACATGTGCATCAGATGAACTAAGCATCGTGGGCATAATGCACAGAAGATACAAACAGGTGTGATGTGTGTGTATATATGCAGCCACAGCTACTACCAACAACAGTGAAAGACAGAGAGTATGAATTTTAAGTATTTGTTCAGACCCAGAGAGCCCAGATTCTGACCTGGGTCTGATCTATGCTTACATTCCAGTTGGACAAGGTTTGTGCAGTTCCAAATTCAAGTGTATGGGATTGGGCAGACACTTCCAACTGCTTTGGGTTTTTACCGTGCATGAAACAACACAGCTTAGGATAAACATGGAATGTAGCAATACAGGAATTCTCCAGTCACTGCTCAAGGAAAACCCAGAGTGACTTTCTGGTTTTGGGGTTTGAGTCCACCCACTCTCTGAATCAGACATATGCTTTTAGGAGAAGCCAAACAAATACATGTTATCTCAGTATTTCGGCTACAGCAGTGATAAGGTACATTAGCAGATGTGGAGATCTCAAGTATCTTTCATACACTGTGCAAAGTAATTATTTGCCTTTGACTGAAAATACAGGACAGTGAGGTAATCATATTTAATAAATTGTCACAAATATGTGACAGCATTTTTCCATGAAACACAGACTGAAAAAGACATCTTTTCTGTGCTTATGGAGCAATTCTGCAGGGACACAGAGGTGATGTTGTACTCCACACTGGTACCATAGCCCCCCAGCTTCCAGGGGTCAAGCTCAGCAGTTTGTGGGTACACTCGCAGCCACCCCACAGCCCACAGCCCAGGCAGCCAAACCTGTGCAGCCTGCCCCGGTACCCTGGTGCCAGCAGAAACCTCCACAGCTCCCTGAACCCACAAAACGTCAGTGACAGGGTCTCTTGATTAGTGCACAGACTGACAGACCCTTCCTGCAGCAGACAGGCTCTGAAGATCCTAATCTTATTAGAGGAATTACACTGGCATTTTACCGAAGCCTTTACCTTCACAAACTCCTATCTGCATTACTTTCGCTGTTTCTTTCTATGCATCTTGGGATCGCTACATCCCAATGGACACTATGAACCCTTTTTCTGTTCACTGTACATCTCCTCCAGCCCCCATGGGATTCACACACCGTCTCCAACTGCCAAGAGACATCCCCCTGCTGCAGGCAGCCAGAACAGGCAGAGGCCTAGACAGCACAGCCAGGAGGGAAGACTGAGCAGATCCAGGTCACTTATGCTGCAGGAAAACTGAGGGGCCAAAGGAAACAGGTAAAACTGTTGTAAAGAAGGGAATGGTTTGTTCTCCCAGTCCACACACAGTAATACCAGATTCCCTGTTGGGATACTGTGGTCTCGAAACAACCACCTACAGAGAAGGCAAGGTCTCCAGCAGCCAAAGTCCTTAAGAACAAACCAAACACTAACCTGGAGGAACATCAGAGCCACAAGTCCTGTCAGAGCGTGAGGGCAAACCAAATAGCCTTCAGCCCCTTCCAGATGCAAGATTCTGAGCAAGCAGGAGGCCCTTAGCACTTACAGCACTGAGAAACTGAAACAACTAGGATGATCTCCGTCATCAGAGTAACATCTCCCAGATCCCATTCCAGTTTTCAAGAAAGCTCCCACAAGCAGCAGTGCACTTTGATTTCCCTGACCAGAACAAGCAGAGACCTTTTGCCAAATATAACATGAGATACCACTTGAGATCAGACAGGCAGTGCTGGGACTTGCTTCCCAACACAGTTCTGGCCAAGAAAAAAAAATCATTATACAGAATCTTACAGTGTGGAGCAAGGGAGGAAAATAAAAACCTGTCAAGCAAAAAAACCTCCACAGCCATTAAACACCCATAGGTCTCAGTGTTTCTGATCTGGTAACACTTTGCACGAGCAGGAGCTGCTCCAGAGAGATGCAGCTTTGCTTGGTCCCTCCTGGACACATGCCCACACAGTGCACTCACCCTCCAATTCTCTTCTTAAGCTCGATGGGTTTCATGTCGTCTGCCGGCGCCAGCTTGAGAGCGCCAAGCGGCGCGGGCGCTGCTGCCGGGTGCTGCAGGGGCTGGATGGGCTGTGGGACCACATGGTGCTGGGAGATGGCCAGCACCGGTGCCGCGTAGTGCTGCAGCTGCTTGGGGCTGCCCGCCGGCGGGGTCGTGGCTTTCCCATCCGGCAGGTGTGGGCCCGGTGGCCGCTGGATCACTGGTGCCACCGACGGCGCCTCCTTGGGGACCCCGGGACTGCTCACCAGGGGCTGGTGGCGTTGCACAAGCGGCGGCGACAGGGCGGTCTGGGCTGCTTGCTGGGGGGAACTGGTGACAACAGGGATGGGAATGACTGAAATGGGAGCTGCCAGGGGCGGGGGCGGCAGGGGCACCGGGCCCGGCGGGGAGATGGGCACCAGCAGTTCACTCCGGGGCTCCTCCGGGGATAGGGCACTGTTGGCCCGGGGCACGCTGGCCTTGCCTGCCTTCTTCTGCTCCTGCTCCCTCTCCAGGCAGAGCTTCTCATGCTTCTCATTCTCCTCTGAAAGAGAAACACACAGAGTGAGTAATGGCGCTTCCTTAACCTTCCCTGGGTGCAGCCTACAACCAGCATGGGGCAGGATCCTTAAGTTAAAATACCCTAGTTTTATACTCTCCTGAGTAAATCCCAGCTCAGTGGACACTGAATTGGTACAAACACATCAGGGCACCTCTTTACTGCTGTGGATTTTAATCAAACTCTTACACTTGGCCTTGATGTGTGTACATTCCTATATGTTTTTAGAACACCACACAGAGTAAATGAAATCTGTGTGGCTTAATTAGAAAAATAAACCTCATCAAACGTAGTCCAGGGCTCTGCCTTTAATTGTGTGAACATGGCACAAACAAAATTTATTTATACCAGTCCTGTGGCGCCAGTGGCCCTGGCATCTAGACATTGTGCAGCCTTAATCAAGTATCTCCAAACCCACCATCGGTGAGGCTCAGCAGTTCCTGCTCCTGACAACCTCTGAGAAGCCGCAACAAGAAGTGGTGCAGCAACCTCTTCACAGTAACATACAAATATTTGGAAAATAAAGCCTTATTTTATCAAGGGAGGGATTAGGGAAGGGATGCAGATGGTTGGGTGTTCTGTATTATATAGTCACCAATATCAGGTAATTCAGAGGAAGCTCTAAGAAACATTCCAACCAAGCCTCTCCCAGGAGAAGCTTGGGCTCAACTGAAACACTGAAGTCAGAATGTGTATTTAGAAAATTAGAGAGAAGAGCATGTATGCCACCTGGAATTACCAGGTTATGTTCAACCCCCCAGTGATCTTCAAGAGCATCTGTATGGAACATAACAAGTGGAACAAGGGAAAAGGACCCCACCAAGTACAGAGCTGCTCAGCCCTTGCCATCCCTGAGGGGCCCTGACACTACTGGCATACTTTCTAACCCATCTCTCGATTTTGAGGAGCGTAGTGCAAAAACTACAAAGAGCAACAAAGGGAACAAAACTCTTATTCCAGGTTCTGAATGCCCTTTGGTACGTGTGACTGCACAGCAACACCGACCCAGATTCAGTTGACACAATTTCCTGAAGTTCAGCTGCAGCAACAGCCCAAACACACCCCAACCTCCCTTAGGAGCGCACGACCCAGCTCAAGCAGCCAGCTGCCAAGGTAAACACTGTCCTGACCCCACACATGGAGAACTTACCCTCTGGATCGAGCTCTACCACTGGGGCTGCAGCCCCAGTCTCTGACCCTGCAGCACTCACAAAAGCACCACATGAAATTCTGTCATGAGGAAGGATTTCACATCCATACAACACTCTTCCCAGGGCTGCCTGAGACTCAAATCCAAAGTTTTCATTCAACTTCTGCAGCACAAGTAGGGGGTGAGTGAGCAACAGATCTGACTCCAAAACAGGAGGGAGGTTGCTTAAACAGCAGCTGAACCTTAAAGCTGCATTTGTCTGTATCATCTCAAAATATTTCAGGGTATTATCACCAGTTCCTTAAAGAAAGAAGTGAAGCAGCACAGGGTAGCAAAACCCCCAGCAGGAATCCCCTGATGCAAACACAAATCTTAGCTACCAACAATTTCGGAGTGGTTCAGATGAACAACATTAATAACTAATAAAGAAAAGCCCTCTGTCTGCAGATCTTTTGCTCCACTTTGCTGCTGGTTCGCAGCCAGAGCCAATGCAATGGCCCTGGCACAGAGTGCACGAGGAAACCCAGCCCCGAGGACCTGCTGACTCACGGTGTTCCCTGAGCACGTTCGGCCTCAGGGACAGAGCGCGGCCAGAGGCTGACCAGCACCACCTTCCCAGGCATGCACCACACCAAAGCCCACACAGCTTCCATCCAGACTTCACACTGCACTGTGACTGAGAGGAGGGAGCAGCAAAGGAGTCATTAATGGGAAGCCCTGGCAGTGCCAGGGTCTGGTGAGGACAGCAGAACCTGCCCAAGCTGCTGGAGGTGGCACTGCCACAACGGAGCAGAGCATCCATCCAGGACACCCGAGATGTGCACCTGAGGCAGCAGGAGCGGCGTGGAACTCCTACCATCAGCAACACTCATCGGGAGGGGGAGAGAACAGGGAAGCAAGGTTAGAGCAGGCATTACTGATCAGAAGTATTTATGTAAATGTCTCTGGAAGCAGGTGCAGCCCTCAGGTTGCTGACAACCTGCCAGCAAGGCCTTTGGTGTTGCTCCCTTGAGCTAAAGTTTATTTCAAGGCTCACTGAAGAGCCACTCTCCTCTTGGGTCTGACTTACCTACAGGTGGAAAGGATCCGTGCTCTCAGTCCCAGGAAAAGGACTGGAGGGCCCTGAGACACCCCTTTGAACAGAAACCCTTCCACTGGGTGGTGAAGATCTGTCTCCTGCTTGCTTTGCACTCACACCCTGCACACAAACCAAAGACATCCTTTGAAGAAAGCCCCCCAAGCTCTATGTTTTCCCATATGAAGGAAGCTCACCCGTATTTGGTCACATACAGTTCAAGGACGGGTGATCAGCATGCTGTGTGCTCAGATGTGCCAGACACATGCAAGGCTCATTCCTTCCCTTGTGGCACACTCAGCACAGGAACTCCTGCAAGCCCATACACAGAAAGCAGCCAAGGCTCAGGGCATCTCCTTGGGCAAGAGGATAACTGAATCCAGAGGCACACCTCAAAATTATGCGTAATTTCCACTCACTCTTCACACTCTTATTGAGGGGACTGAAGACAGAACAAACCATGAGAGTGAACCAGTCCTGAGAACCCCAGGGGGTCTGAACCACAGCCCAAGCATGAGGGGTCCTGGAATCCCACCCTGCCCACACCACTCTGCTTGCCAGCAGGTTCACATGGCGAGAGCAGGCACCCCAGGTCCCTGGCCATGCCACCTGGGCAGTGACAGCAACACCAGCTGCCACAGAACAACAGCAAATCCTGTCCTGGGAGGACCAGAAACAGGGTCAGCACCCCTGTCCAGTGGCCTGGTGCTATTTTAGGGCCTCAATGGTCCAGGAGTACACAGTACCAGGCACTCTTTGTTACCTAATAATCTGCTGCATTTAAATATATCTTGTCCCTTTTGCCTGCCCTGGAAATGCCACCCATCTGTCACAGGCACTGCAGCCAGCACCACCCAGGGAGCAGCGGGCAGAGCTGCACATGCCCTCAGGCCGGCAGCGTAGGCCTGCAGCAGCCAGGGCATGACCCAAGCTCCCAGAACCATGCTGGAGGAGCAGGCCTTAAGGGACCTCAGTGCCCTTTAAGTGCTCCTACTTTTCACTAGAAACACTGTCAGTAGAAAGAGTTTATCAAGGGTGTGTGCCTTTGCATAGCCAAGCATCCTACCTCTGTGTGTGCTCAGTGGAGAACATCTCTAACTCCAGGAACAGTGAGGCAGTTCTGTGCTGTCATCTTCTGAATGGTCTGAAGTGCTTTTCTGAATCATTCAACACTTCTGGGAGCTTATCTTGCATACCTAGAACTGCTACAGCCCTGGAGAGGAGTGCCCCAGGTGTCATTCACACTGGATATGCAGCAGTGTCACCCTCAGGAGTCACTCCAGGCTCCTACCAGGAAAGTGCTGGGTACAGAGTCTCCAGGTATTTACTATTCCCAAGGCTGCCCTGGAGGGGGACAGTCATGCCAAGAAGGGCAGGCTAGAGCCTGGAGGTTGGTTTCTGCTTCTGCAGGTCCCTGGCTCTGCAGGGGAGAACCAGGAAGGGGAAGGTAAGAACAGTCAGCAGAACTGGAGCCCAGCAAAGCTCAGCATCAGCCAAGCAAGCTCTGAGTCACAGCAAATGCTGCTGACACCAGAGGCTGCAGCACACAGCCACGGGCACTTCCAGCCCCAGGAACAAGCTTGCAGGACTGAGAATCCTTTGAAATCAGGAACCTTTTCTGACTCCTGAATTTTGGCTGACAACAGCACAAGCCCCACTTTTCTCTCCCATCTTAGCTAAAACTTCACAGTTTGGTGTCCACCCCTTGGCACCGTTGTTTCCTCACCAGCAACGCAGCTTCCCAAAGCCCTCGGGGCTCCTGGCCATGCCCTCAGCACAGAGCTGGCTGCCAGGCATGCTGCCACTTCCACACACTGCTGCTCTCAGTGCTGTGTCCAGACTGCAGCCTGAAACCAAACCGTGTCCCCTCCTCCTCACACACACTGGGCCTTACCAACACCTCATAGACCAATTAAACTGTATTTTAGGAGTGCACTGTTCACAAAGGACCCTGAAATGCTTCACAATTAGAAGTTCACAATACACTCCAGAGGAGCAAGAGCAAAGCCAGTCTACCTGGTTCAGTTTCAGGGGTTCAGAGACCCCTACCCCTACCTGACACTGTCCCTGCTGGGTGACCTTGCTGCACTGCCACTGCTGTCACTTGCTCACAGCTAATGTGCAGCCTGGGTCCATTCACTGCTAACAACTACAATACTCACATCTCCACCTTCTCAGCCAGAGGATGATAACTGTATGTCATATCTCTAAAGACAAAGGAAAATCAGCCATCATATGAGCTATTCCTCCTTAACACCAACCAGTACAGACCATTAGTGAAACCACTGACCTTGGTATCCAAACCTGAAATCAATTAAGAAAAATGACAAGGTGATCCTCTTGCCTGGGAGCACACGCTTTATTAGTACTTTATGGAAACACATGGTTTACAAGGAAACACTTTCAACAAAACCATCACAGCTTCTGGAACACAGTAGGGAAAGACCCTCAAGAAATCTTGGAGCAGTTCATCTCCTAAGCCCCAAAGAAGAATCAATGATAACAACATAAATACCTGGCAGACATTTCTAAAAACAGCTTCTCCAGTCTCTACAGATAATTTACACTGTGCTTTAATAAGCTATTCCAGTACTTAAATTAAATCCTGAATCAGCTCCAGAGTAATTTTAGCTGCATTTTAGTTACAACCAACTCTTTGAGGAAGGAAGGAGGGAAGGAAGGAGGGAGGGAGGAAGGGAGGAAAGGAAAGGAAAGGAAAGGAAAGGAAAGGAAAGGAAAGGAAAGGAAAGGAAAGGAAAGGAAAGGAAAGGAAAGGAAAGGAAGGAGGGAAGGAAGGAGGGAAGGAAGGAGGGAAGGAAGGAGGGAAGGAAGGGAAGGAAAGGAAGGAAAGGAAGGAAAGGAAGGAAAGGAAGGAAAGGAAGGAAAGGAAGGAAAGGAAGGAAGGGAGATTTAGCAGCACTACAAAGGAAAACAGATCAAAACTGCTAAAAAAATAAAACCATCATGAAGAGCCTCATGTTGCAGAAACCCCAGGACCATCACGCTGCCAGGATGCTGAGCATGCCACTGCCATGGCTGCAGCAGTGCAGCCCGGCGGGCTGGAGGGATGTACAATTCCAGTCGTAACTTTCTGTGGAATTTGGGATAAAGTACAGGAAAGCACTGGCTGTGATGAGCCAAGTGGGCATCAACAGCACAT